ACTCTGCATGACATTTGCGCTTCTTAAAAAGATCGTGTTTTACGTGTGACAACATCGCAAAAGTAGATAAGTAGACCATTAAAACGATTATGAGATTGAACTTGTAACAAAAAGTAAACTTGAAAATAGGATCAATAGTTGTTGATGAACCTACGTAATTCCTTAAAAACGCATTTCGGTTAGTTTTAAATAAAAATACTAAAAAATATATAATGACAGTGACAAGTTCAAAGTGTCACATTTGCTTTGTCGCACACTGTGGCGATAATAAAAACATTTATTGGCTGCTCACCTGTAAAGTGTTAAGCGACGTGATCATGTCTCTGAACAGGATTTTGTCGTTGATGCTGTCGACTCTGGCCGCATTGCCTTGTTTGACGTAGAAGTATTGGTCCGAATCTCTGGATATGTTCAGTCTTTTCAGTAAGTCGTCGCTGCCTCCAATTAACAACTGCGAAAATTTCAGTTAGAGCCTGCAGCAGCAAGAGAAGAGAGCAAATACCTGGTAAAAGCAGTGGAAATTCCTCTCCCCTGCTTGTTGAGTGGTTACTCTGGACTTTTCCAGCAGATAGTTGCTGATGTGGCCCCCAATAGGGTCGCCCTTAAAATCGAAGTGAATGTCCATGTACTTGCCGAATCTGGACGAGTTGTCGTTCCTGTTAGTTTTGGCATTGCCGAAGGCTTCTAGAATGGCATTCGACTGGATCAGCACATTTTTTACGCGTTCGATTTCGTGCTTTCCCTCTAAAATAACACACCAATCAGTCAAGGAATATTCGCAAAGCAATTGGGGCTGATTAACACATAGAAAAGTGACATCGTACAAAATAGCTTTGGCTGTGGAAGTATTAGAAACACGTAACTTTCTAGAGGGGAACAAAACGCGCATTTTGAACAGCTTGATTGTGTTTTATCCGATGTTCACAGCGCGTTTTATTGCCTTTTCTCACACCTATTGTTAGAGCCTGGAAAAAACGGCATTAATTGGTACAAAAGGTCCGCCCACAATACGCAGCCACTATGTACAAGGCTTAGGAAATTCGCTGTTCAGTGAAACGGTTCTTGGGGAAACTTAAAATAGCTGCGTATTATGGGCGATGGAAAACAAACATGTTCGGTGCACACATTAAACTGACACCCAGTAGTTACTTGTGTTGGCGGTTCCGTCCAGCAGGGGCAACATCCCTAAGAGAATAAAAAATTAAGTGTCCAGAAACCGGTTCGCTTGTTGTTCTACTAGCTAAAACATCGGTTGTCCTACACAGTCTAAATTTTCCTTCTACCCAACCACAGAAATTGTGTAAAGTAAATCGTTATCAAAGAGTCTTTCGGGCTTTAGCCCGGCGCGATTTCTTCGTAAAAACCCCCTACCGTTTTGAATCGGTAATTTTAGCAAATTTTGACTTGAATATAACACGTATGAACAGAATTGGTGTGAATGTTCGCTCGCTCTTTGCGAAACCAGGCAAATTCCCAAGAAGTGCTGCTCAATCATTGACCCATGTTAACAACAAAGGGGAGCGGATTGTGTTTAAAGGGCAGCAGACGGTTTGAATGCCAACAATTGGATACGCTTTTTGCGTCTGTTGTATAAAGAAGTTTGAAATATAATTTAGATGTTTTTAACTATGATCAAACTTAATCACGGAAATATTTCTAGGCACAATTACGCTGGAAGTTGCTGATTTGTTTTGAGCATAGAGGCGCATTTACCTTGGTTTGTAACAGCGGCGATGTATTTCATGATGATTTTTGAGGCTTCGGTTTTGCCCGATCCCGATTCTCCACTGATCACTATACATGTGTCCCTACTTTGTTGCTTCATCACTCTGTGTGAAGCGTCAGCAATTGCAAAAATGTGTGGTGGATTCTCAAACAACTCTCTACCTGAAAGTTGAAGCAAATCGTTAAAAACCTGACGGCACTTTTGCTACGCGAATTTTTTCCTTATAAAGTCCCCTTTTTCACAAGGTGCGAGTTATTTTCAACTAAGGTTTTGTTTTAGTGTGCGTATTTGTTTAATATTGTAAATTTTTTTGGTTGGTATTATACGGGACAAATCAAACACAGGAAGTTTCTCCTCACTTTTGTCGACGTTTCGACCCTTTTATTGGGGTTAATGACCGGTCATTACCCCCAATAAAAGGGTCGAAACGTCGACAAAAGTGAGGAGAAACTTCCTGTGTTTGATTTGTCCCGTATAATACCAACCAAAAAAAATTACAAGTTTAAACAAATAGGGACACCAAGTTTTGATGTTCTAGAAAAATCAAATCGCATTCACTTTTCGCGCTCTGCTTTGCTATAAATACGTTTTTTAAATATATCGCATCAAAGTGGTCAAAAACACACACATCCACTTATTCCCATTCTCATAATGTATTAGACAAGCATTATTAATACCGCGATATTCCCGGTATTGTTTTAGAACATATTTATTTAAGTGTTTCGTTAAGTGAAAAACAAATCGCCGTAAATTTAGGCTGCACTCTTTTAATCTTCCGTAAATAAAGAGTCTCTACTGTCTGCTTTTACAGCCGTTTTGCGGTGCAAAACTGACTAGTGAGCTGAATAGTTTTTTCTGTTTATCAATTTATGGTGTTAATTTCAGATAAAAACTTTTAAACGCGATCAATTGAACTACTTTGGTCTGCGTTTATTAAAATAGACAATGATTTTGAAAATGTTTAGGTACATTTTTTATACATGGAGAAACCTTATATGTTGCCTTTATTCCGTAATCAAATAGTCAACTTGTTCGTCTGGAATATACAACGTCGTTCACGCGAACAAAAGTAAAAACCATCAAGCGGTCAGAAGGTTGTTTCTGCCATCGACTATCGAGCTCATTTTCCCATATAGGAATGAGAAATTTCCACCATTATCTCCTTCATGCAATAAATGATGTTTTGCGATATCAGCGATTATAAAAAGGGCTGTAAAAGACTTATTATCACTAACTTTTATAGAGGATGTGGGGTGACATACACACATACCTTTGTACTTATTCACATAGGACTGGTCGTATATGTTCATGTTCCTGTAAGGGTTTACGCTCACGCATACTTCGCCAATATAGGTGTAAATCAGCCCATCTTTAAACCTGCAAACAAAACAAAATCCTAAATCAACTTTCAACGATAATAAATGTCATTTTTTCGATGATTTATGCGCCTTGTTGGGGGTTTGATTTTACGTCTTTTCACCAAACTAATACCCGGGAATTGTGGCCTCGCCTTTTTCGGGGCGCGACATGTCCGAAGTGGTAAAAGAGGCGAGTCCATTGTCCAGTTAGCGCTGTGTCCTTTTTCCTAAACGCGGCGTAAAAATTACGGTTTATGGCCCATTAAAATTGGAAAAAAAAACGCAACGGTTAAAGGGTTTTTGTGCAGACGAAACATGCGAATCGTGTGCGTTTTATAGGGCAAATAAGGGATTATCTCACTTGAACTTGACCCAACCCAATTGCGTGACCTTATTTGTAGCGGAAAAATTTATAGCAAAGTGAAATTGGCCATAAAACACTACTTTAAAGCAAGAAGAAACAATAATTGGCCTTTTTAACTCAGTTTTTCCACAAAAATATAATTGCTGTGTACGGAAATTTGCTTGCTTTGCGGCAAAACCGCGCTTAAAACAATGTCTAACCTTGTTTGGAATTAAGCCATAATTGGCCATAAAAACTTTTAAAATATGTGGCTCGAAACTGCATGCTTTCATGATAAGTGAACGATATAACAATATTCTGATCTGTATAGTAATGGTTTCATAATTAACATAACAACCGTTATAAATTACAGGTTTGCAAACAATATTTATAGGTATCGGTCGCAGCAAATGCGATGTTAAAATCAGGTCTTGGCTCAAAATGCCTCAAATTCTACGTCAGTTTCCACACAAGAAGCCAAGGAATTGTTTTTTGCTAATACTAGATTAGTAGAGCATAATCAGTTCAAAAAAGCTCAAAAGCACATTCAGAAACTTCTAAAAAATTGCCTGACGGCCCAAACTTGACTAGTTAGTTGAGTCACTGTAAAATTCCTATGAACATATTTTTTTTTTAATTTTTCTAAAGATTAAAAATTGAAACGTTCCACTTATAGAGCGAACTTTGTTCTACAAAAGTGACTCACTTTGCGAGTTCGCGAGCAAATAAATATCCAACTTCGATCTGCCATCTGCCGCAATAATCGCTAAAACCAACGTTCAAAAAATTGTTAAAAATCCCCCGAAAATTGAAACTTTTAACACTGGTCGAATGGATTTGGCTCTATAAAATACATACAAAAGTGAACTCTTTTACTTTGTTAGTTTCTGAATAAATCCGCTCTGCGAAAACACCCTCGTAAATTAACATGTTCAAAAATTATAATTTTTTGCGCGTAAATTTTGCAAACAGCTCAAAAATCTCGCAAAAGGATTAATGAATCCATGAAAAAATTTTACTGTTTTCAGCTACCACGTAAAAAGTTCTGGTAATTTTTGTGCAATAAAATTGTCCCAAAGTGAGTGAACGCGGAAGCTTAATAAAAATGTATCAAAAGAGATAGACTTTCGAGGCCATTCCTTGAAACAAGTGGGTTTTTCGGGTTTTTAGGCCGAACGACGAGAATGTATTTCTGAAAACCACTTCTGAAGATGCAAGCCACACGTGCTTGCGAAACGTCAAGAAGAAATTTTACCGAACGACGGCCTAAAAACCCGAAAAACCCACTTGTTTTAATAAAAATGGTTGGTAAAAATAAAAGTTCTTTGATTGTCTCCTTTTGAGCCAAAAAATGTTTTCGGGCACTAAATAAAAAGTTGTTCGAAAAGAAGATTGGAACAATGGTTTGATCGCGATTTCCGGCTGTGAAACATTGTTATTAATTAAAGAAATTTTGACCGCGCGTAATTGTTATTATATTCTTATCTTTCCTGGGTCTCAGGCAAAGTGTGAGGTAAAAATGTCGAATATCGTTTATTTCATTACGTTTCGACGAGACAACAGCGCGATCATCACATTCACAATTAAAACATGTTGTATAAAAACTATAATTTATAAAGCGTTAAAGCGTTTTTGGTTAAAGCGACTGGACTAGTAGTACAAAGCGTAAATCGTACTCAATTTCACAAATTCCTGCCGGAAGAAACTGGATTAGGAGAAAAAAAACAACTCTGGCATTCAATATTGCATTTTATTATCCAGGAAGTGGATTTGTTGAAACTTTATTATATACAATGCGAAGATTGCCTTTATTTCTCTCAATTCCTCAATGCGGCGATTCGCCTTTATTGCTTCAACTGTAACGCGTTCCAACTGCACATTTCGGATAAATCACTCAAAGGGAGCCTTTTTTGTTTTCGGAAAAAAACGGATTAATTAGAACAATTGTAAGTATTGGCTTTTCGGCACTTAAATTGTTATCCGGCACTGTAAAAGGATCAGACACTCTGATAAGATTGTACTCAAGCATAACGTCTAAATTTAGTTGCACAATTCATGTTCCTATTATTGTTTATTCACAAGCAATTCCCTGAATATGTTTTTAAACCCAGTGATATTCGACAGCCTGCAGGTAAAAGTAAATTTATCGCAATGTTCTACACTTAGCTATTATCTAATCAGCAACCCAATATTACAAGTGTGCTGTAACTAACAGTTTAATCTGCATTTTTCAACACATTTGTTTGGCTGGAAGTGCGACATGTGTGGCGTTTCTTTTAGAAGCGCAAACCAAATGTTTGCTTCAACTTCTTCACATGAAAACTTGTAATACGTTTTTTGGTGTCCATGAACTCTGCCATGGCCGACCACGAGCTCAAACCTCGCCGATCTGTTATTTTGATTCATATTTTCTCTGTGTACTTAAAATTGCGTTTCATTAGGCAGAATCGCTTTGAATTGACGTAGATTTGCGGAGAAAATGCTATTAATCCGCCGTTTGGCTATTAAAACAATAAATGCAATAAACGTTCTCCGAAGTGTACTTTTGTCACCATGTGGTCGCACTCCCACAGAGTACGGTAATCTATTTTCAGTTCATTCATGTTTGTTTTTAGAGAGCGAATCTCGTAAAAATGTGTTTGATTTTTTTTGGAAATGTGCCCCTAATGACCTCGCAGTGGTTCACGTGACTGATAACTTCGAAATATCAGCACTATTTATCAATCTGTAATAAAAGACGTGAGGAAATTCCGTCTTTTTTAAAGACAAACATTTTTGAGGCGAAATACCCAAAAAGAAGTTTGTAAAAAAATGAATCCGCCTCAACAATATAGAACTTATCTATTGATAACTTCGTATCAGCTTAATTAGACATTTAAAAAACGTTGTTGGTGCACGAAGTATCGATCCATACGATCCAAATTCATGTAAATAGCAAATAAATGTAACAGAAAATGAAAGTAAACCGTGAAGCAAATGAAACGCGCCGCAATGTTACCTAATTGATGATTTTTACTATTACGGTTAAAGCCGACGTTTCTTCGCCGATTTCCTACGCGGAATTGCTTTTTATGGCTCTTAATGGGTTTTCGATGTGTTTGCAGTCAGGTCGAGAAAATGCAGTTTTTCTTTTTCCCGGTATCCGCGTTTTCGTCATGGAGAAATCATGCTTGTTAGTAGCGCAATGAATCTGGGCAATTTTCGGAAATTCAGTAATCACCTGTGTAATTGTGTAGTTTAAGTTTTAGAGAATTGCTCAAAAAGCATTGGAAACAACCATGTTGACAGCCTCGTTTTGATACTAAAGGGTTTGTTTTTGCGCCAGATTCAAATGTTGCTCATTTGCAAGAGATGCTAACCGAACGAAGGTGAAGATCAAAACTGTGCCTGGAAAAAAGGATGTTTGAAGCTTGAAAAATTAACTCAAAGTCCGTTATCAAGCCACAAGAATTGATAGGGCGCATATTTCGCCTATTTCCGGTAGAATGAGAGTATTTTTCAGTTGGAAACTGATAAATCATATTTCCTGCCCAATGATACCTTTCTATTATTAGCCAATAGTCACTTAACATAATAATGCCGGCTTCGCCAGTATGTATGTACAATTGCGTAACCGAAAAAACATTCGTTGCATCTACAAAGCATGTCCGTTTTGCATTTTGCGTCCACATTTACGACAATTAAATAGCAGCCAATTAAAACTCCATTAAAAATCCCGTACTTCTTTGCGAAAAGTAATGCTTTGCTCGCTTTCTAGCTAAATATTTGGGGTGTATTTCAGTTGAGAATGACGGAAACTCAAAGTCCAAATAGAAAATTCATCCTGTCCAGCACAAGGGCGGATCCGCCCCTGGTCAATGAATGATTGAATCTGCCTACATTCCCTTATCGGTAGTTCACTTTCTAGAAAGGTCATTTAGTTTTCTCTGGAATGATGTAAAAATGAGCGCTCGTGCTCATTTTGCGTCCAAGAAATGAGCAAAAACGGGACGGAAAACATGAAATTTTGGCATAATCTTGAACCTAATTGTTTGATATTCATATTTCGCTTTCTGGGCCAAAACTACTCGAATTTCCTCACTCACGTTTTCTCTATCTAACGATGCCAAAACGAATTCTGTGGCTCGAATGGTTCTTGAGAAACCTCGAAAAAAGCAGCGTCATGTTCAAGTGGATTTTGCAACTAAAAAAAA